TGGTATAATTAAGTTCCTTAGTACATTACGTCACAGAACGACAACAGGTTCGATGAATAAAGATATCTCTTAAATAAAAATGATTCTAATCAAACAAAGTATAAAATATTATAGTACGATTATTTACACGTAATAAGAACTTTTCTTATAGATAAATACTTTATTACATTGAAATATATATATATAATAATGCTTTACATTATATAAAACACATGTAGACTATATATTATTATATATTAAAATTTTTTTATTTATATTCTTATTTATTTGACAAAAAAATAAAAATTTTTATTATAATATATTATTATATTAATATCTTAGCCATTATTTTCGTACACGATAATCTCCGAAACCACCCAACCAATTTCAATAAAATTTTGTAAATTTATATCGTTAGTTCTCGCTCGAGATAGATGGCTTTGGATATAAATGTTTACAAAAAATGATTATGCTTATCTCGAGAACACATACAGTTTGTATAATCATGAAAACAAAAGCGTCAAATATCGCCCACATTAAAATTACAGTTTAGCGTATTGTGCAAGAAGTTTATTCTTAGACATTCATTGTCAAGGTTATTTTATTAGTAATTTATTTTTGCAATATTGGTCACTAAAATTTGTATTCACAACAAAAAAATTGTATTGACAAAATCACATCTTTCAATACGATCAATAACAAAAAGAACAACCAGTTCAGACCTAACTTGATTGTTTGACCAGTCTGAATTGGCAATTGTGCAATTGTGGGGGCAAAAATGATTTTCCAGCAATTATGGCTGCTAGAGTCGCAATTACTTGTTCATCCTGGGATGGACAATTTACAGTCGAGTCAATTCATAGGACAACTCAGCTGATGTATTGTTAAAAGGCTTGTCTGCAAATATGTTGGTCGATATGCGTACTTTATTATTGTGAAATAGGGGGGAGGGAAGTGCATTGCGAGCGGAAATATCTATTGTGTCCCTTAGTGCTATTAGAGTGTTTCTCCAAGTCCGATTTCTTTAATGAAAGACAGTATAGATCCTAGTCTTGAATGTTGGGAAATACCCTTATAGGTGTTTCTTCCCCTTGTGTATCAATGCCAGGTTTTATATGTAATTTTAGCAGATCATACGTCTTTTATTTTCTCTCCACTAATGAATCTTTATATCAGCGAAGAAAAATGTTAACATATGTATATACATATATACTGTCATTGAAAGCAAATTTTCATTCGGTCAAAATAATAAATAATAATAGTACCATCGGGTAATTCATATCAAAAGAATAAAAAAAAAAATTTTTTAACTCAAAAATTTCGTACAATTTACTATAAAAACAACAAAAAAACCAAAATATTTAAAGTTTAATATTTTGTAGCATGACCAGTACTGCAAGTACAGTCGAACAGCGTGACGGCATAGAAATAATGAGTTTTTGGCACTTTTCTATACTAATTTGGTTCCATCCAACAATTTTTCTTACTTTGGCGTAAGTTTCAGGCGTATAATATGTGCCTTTACCCATTTGTGCTTATTTAATTCAACTAAAAAAATCCATATTTTTTATGTTATGTTTTTTATAAATTTTAATTTTTTTAAATAAACTAAATAGTTAATTGCTTGGCAATACTTCAGTTTACCTGGTGCAATATATAAGTGTGTTATAGCGAACGTTGCACAAAAAAATATTTCGACTACAAAAACAAACGCACACAACAAAAATTAAAAAAAAAACCCTCTACTAAATGTATGGACCATCATTACACTATTAGGGAGGTCTGTGGAAAAGAGGGTATAGAATCTCACAAGAAGGTTCTTCGGCATGCAGAATATCGGGAAGGAGACTGTTTCGACGATTTCGGTACCCTCATGTAAGGGACCCAAAAAAAAACTTTTATAGTCTTTTATATATACCCCTGTAAAATAATTATATGTGCAAAATTTGTTTTTCGTTATTCTCTTCTTAGAATAATGGTACTAATTTTTTTTATATACAGTTGATTCTGTAGTTGAGTTTAACTTCTCTGACCATATATGGAGTTTTTTTTGTATACTATTTGTGGTACCGTTATCATGATTAATAACAATAGGTAGCAAATTTCATAGAAAATAATTATATGTGCAAAATTGTTTTGCTTCTCGAAGTGTCAACAGTAAATGGAAATAAAGTATTATAAAGTTTTTTTTTTAAAGTATTGAAGAGTAAAGAATAATTGGTAAGTAAAATACTTATTATTTATTAATAAATATTTATTATTTTAATTAATTTAGATAAAAAATGCCGCATGGGACGGAATTTTCAAGTGAAGAGTGCGGAAAGATTATTGGAATGAGTTTTGCTGGGATGAAAAGTGGCGAAATATCTGCTGCTGGTTATAGACACCTGAATACTATAATAAACTTATTAAAAAATCTCGAAAAATATGGTGTTATAAGAGAGGCGGCCGCTTACCAACTATTAACAACCGAACAAAACGGCATATTCAGCTTCTTGCTACCAATGAGAGGATGAGTTGCAGACAAAGAAGAAATGAATTAGATTTGTCTATCACTAGGCAATGCGTGCAACAAATTATGAAAAAATACTTAAAGCTAACATATGAGTCGAAAGTTCCCAAACCGCGCCTTACACAAAGACATAAAAATGCTCGTTTAGCTTTTCATGACAAATATAAGTTTTGGGACGAGGAATTCGAAACAGTTGTTTTCAGTGATGAAAAAAAGTTTAATCTAGATGGTCCAGATGGTCAACATAAATATTGGAGAGATATTTGTCATCCACGTCAGAATTGCAACAAACGCAACCATGGTAGTGGTTCACTAATGGTGTGGGCTGCCTTTAGCTCGAAGGGAAAGTCTAATATATGCTTCGTACCATCAAAAATGAATTCGGAAATATACATAAATCTGTTGGATAGCGAACTGATAAATTTCGCTGAAAATATTCATGGAGATAATTGGACTTTCCAACAGGATAATGCTCCAATACATGTTCCTTGTGCTACAAAGAAATTATTTGAAGAGAGAAGCATCCCATTGCTAGATTGACCGGCTATGAGTTCTGACATAAATCCAATAGAGGATCTTTGGGGTATTCTTAGTGCCAATATTTATGCTTATTCGAAGCAATACGATACTCTTAAAGAGCTGAAAAATGACATACTGGACGAATAGGCCAAAATTGACCTCCTACTATTAAAAAAATTGGTAGATTCAATGCCACATAGGATACAGTTAATAAAAATAAATAATGGAAACACATTACCTTATTGAAAAATAAAAAAAATTGAATCACATAAAATAATTAATTGTTTTTAGCAAAAAATGTGAATTGCACATATAAATATTTTCTATGAAGATTTAAAATAAAGTTAATTCTTCACTTAAAAAAAATTAATTTGAATAAAATTGTTTTATTATTTTAATTACACTACTAAACATAAAAACAAATAATAAACTAAATTCACCCTAACAAAATTTGTTGGAGTTTAAATTAGATTTTAAGTACTGCACATATAATTATTTTACTGGGGTATATAAAAATAATAAAAAATAAAACTTATTTTGAAACGCCTAGTAAACCAGAAATCATTTTACCTAATGTGTATAGTCAAATATTGCCTGAGGTATGGCAATCTTGCTTTCCTCAAGAAAAAGCAAGATATGGTTATGGTTATTATAAAAGTTTTAAAGGAGAGATCAGGTTGGATTTAGTTGGATTAGATTGTTTTGGGGCTTCACAATATGCGACAAAATTGGTTTTGCTAGTGTTTGTTATTGATTCAAACACTAGCTTACTTTTAAAACGTCAGATATAGTGAAGCAACAAATGTAGTTTTTCAATTACTACATCAATAACTTCCTTAAGAAATTATACTGTGAATTCAAAACGAGTTAGGTATTGACCTGACTTTAATAGCTGTGTTGCTGAGTGGCATTGATCTATAAAGGTTACGTTTTCTTGAAATTTAAGTTAATTATTGTATATATTTTTTTAAATTCCAATGCAATTTAGTTTTTCGATTAAAAATGCAAATAAATTATTTTTAGAAATTGCAATATTTACTTTATTTAGTTCAACCCACAATTCATATTTTGAGAAGCATGAATGATGAGACCATGTCTATGGTCTTCATCAATTCCAACATTCTTACAATATTTTCGCTACAAATTAAATATTCTTTTACGTTAATTTAATTTACTAAACAGTTGCTAGGAATTTAAGTTATCTATAGATTATTATATCATAAGATGATGATGTAGATGAAATTTTAGTGAATCTCGGAGATATATGTTATGAAATAGTTTCATTACATAGCTTCATTAATAGCTTCATTAACAAATTTTTAGTAATAAGGCAAAAGTTTTAATTTCAGTGAACATTCGAAAAGGCAAAAATTATGTATGTTTAGATATATAAACTAATTTTGGTGTCATTGATTCCCTTATATATACCCAAATCAATCTTTCAAATGATTATGTCATTAAATCATTACATTGTAAACAATGAACTACAAATAAAAAAAATAATGTATAACTTTTATTACATCAGTGCACATTTTAAAGAATTCTTGTTTGTTGGCATGTTTATTCTTATTAAAGCATTTCTGTTCAAAGTACTATACTGAACCAAAAGTATCGATTTATTAGTTTTAGAATTTATATGTCTTCTTTACCAACTTACACTCATAAGCATGCTCTTATACGTGAAGGCATTTTTCTATTAGAGCTATAATTTAAAATATATACGGAAACACAGTATATTATTTTTGACAACTTATGAAATCCTTAAATAATAAATTTCACAGACTCTGTGTCTGTAACATTCAATCTTTGAATTTTACTCTATAACATAACTTTAGGAAATACTTATATAGATATAGATTGAAATCAATATATCCACATTATGAACTAAAAAATCAATGAAGGCAATACTAACATAAAAACGAGAGCTAGGTTAGTGCACCAACCACTTTTGTTTTTTAGTCTTGAATCAGTATAGACGCGAATTCAATAGAGTAATAACGTAACTTATGTTCACCTGAAAATAGATAATTAAAAAAAAAATTAAAAATATTAGTTTAAGTGCAAAAAAGTAGCTTCGCATCTGAACAGACGTCAATATGGTTCAATTTAACTCCGAGAAGTCGAGTAAGTCATTATTGAAAATATTGTTCAGTATATAGAAATGTGAGACATCTTATATAAAACAGGCATCCTTGATTAACTACTAAATTATTTTTTAATAACGAAGGACACTATTTTAAAAACATAATTTCAGAAATAAAATCAGCAATTTATTGTAAAAAAAAATAATTAAAATGCAGAAAAAGTCAATATTTAATAGAAGACACACGTATTATTTTGTTGAGAAGGTTTATCATATATGGTATAACATTTTAGGTTTCATCGAAGTAACCTTGTTAATTGCAAACTCTCGTTACAAACCCATAATGTAGTACTTTCTGTTTCCATACTTAAGTGAAGAGTACCAAAGAGTAAGAACTCTTTAAATAAACTGATAATAATAGCGAATAGTTAATATTCTCCGTTCTTAACTCGTTACATCTACCTTTCCCTTAAATCAAAACAGCGAATTATAATTTAAAGAAACTCATCAATCATAATCATGTTATAAGAAATTTGGCTAACTTTAAAGGTTCATTATCTTCTCGCTTTATCTTCTCGCTTTTACTGAGAATCTAATTATTAAATAATACCTAGAGCATAGTGATCATATCCTTAAAGATAAAGATAAACAGGAAAACTGTACTGGTTTTTTAAGTGACAGTTACCATCAACTCTACAGGCTGAGATGACTGAAATGTTTTATTGCGGTTTACAATATCCAGAGAGAAGTCCGCACACAATTTTACAGCGTGTTTTGGCAATAGGTGCTTTCATCGTGTAAAGTTTAGTATTATTTTCTTGAACCAAAATTTAATATTGCACTAAATAAACATAACTGATCCATCGGATGAATTGTAAAATAGTAAAACCTATTCAACATGACTAATAAAATTCGTTCGCAAGTTACTTCTGAACAAATCCACATACCTTTTTAACGTCAATATGCATAACTGATTGCTTGTAGTATTTTATCAAAGAAACTAAAGTTTTCTGCTGCAATATGAATCAAATACTTTACGGCAAAAATATGCAATTTTATTACAGTAATTTAACCTAGAAAACAATTAACTGTTTTTTCTGTAAGAATAAACAAATTGTTTCGAGACTACATACACATACCTATGAAAATACAGTATATGTCTTACCAATTTACGTGAAAACTATAAAGGGACTGTGTTTTTAAATTAAATTGGTCCAGAAGTATTCCAATTTATAACTTCTAAAAAATAAGTTTCTTCAAGGCCCTCAAAACCTTCATTAGTTATAAAGATTACGTCCGGGTTAAAAGAAAATTTCACCTCCGTGTATAATGCATACGTGTCTCATCTTCAGTTAGAAGTGACAGAAAAACTTATTTGGATTAAGCTAAAACATTTATAAATTCCTCGTAGAATGGATTACACTAACACGTATATATTTTTTATTACTGTGACATAACGCAACAGCTTTTACACTGTGCTACATCAGCAATATCACTCATTACTCCATCATGAAATTGCCACCACATGTCGGCGCATTGACCACTCAGCAATTGTGGTGCTCTGTCATATGAGCAAACGAATTTCTACGTTGCTTGTCAAGCTTCTATTTTGTTTCAAAAATATTACTTCTTTTTTTAGTTAAATATTGTCAAGAATATATTGAAAGGGTACGTCGCGTACGTGTCATAAAACTTGTATGACGCGTGAGTTTATTTAAATTTTTCTAGAGAACAACAACATAATTGCCATTGGATCAAAAAATGTTTTTAAAATTATATTAAATGCATTATATATATATGCTGGTGATTTCTAGATATAAATCTAGAAATTTGCTCAGTTTTAATAATGTCATTTTTGCCACACTTGCGATACTTTAGTAGACAACTTTTAGCTAAAGTTATTATTCCATGAAAGTATCATCTTTAGCAATGAAACCTTTCATCTTGAAACTCTTGTAGAGTCCATTGCTATTTACGTTCCTGCTCATATGCATATGTCCATGATTTAACACCTGGTACAATCTTATATACGTCTTTTGAAACACCGCTATTGCACTTCTTGAGCATTTGAATCCACCGCACCAATCGACACGAGCATCTTTTTGAGATTTTGTTAAATAATAGGAGATGGAATACAACGAAAAAAAAAACTTTCTCACGGCTAAATGATCATGCAATATTTTATATACTGGTGAAAAATGACGGTTCCCTCAGTATGTAGCATTCTCATATCAGTTTTTGCACAGCATCAATGTTTTCTGGCACAACAACTGATTTTGGACGCATCAGTTGTTCACGAATTTCGTTAGTGAGTGAACTGAGGCCACGATTAAAATCATTGTACCAGCGTTTCACAGTGGCAAAGTATGGAGCTTCATCGCTAAATGTAGAAGTTGATCAGTACAGTCTTGTCTTGATAATCCACGTCGAAAGTCGTAATAAATCATCGCACGAAAATTTTCTAGATTTATTTTAATTTTTTTGCGAACACTCAATTTACAAATCACTGTAAATACGAGTACCACAAATAACGTTCTCTTGACAAAAAGCGTATGGTATATTATGTTTAATAATGTCAAACTTTCGTATGAAAACGTCAGATGAGACCTGACAACAACGAGAGTTGCCAAGATTTAAAATATAAATAGTGACTGTCGTATCACATAAATGAAAATCACATATGCGCAACTCCAACTATAACCAACTGGTGACAGTAATCTGCTAATTGTCATTAGCCATTAAAAGTTTCGTCTTATAAATATGGTAAAAGTTGTGGAGATGAAGAAATAGTGGAATGCATCTCCTTCAGTTGCCCACTCTAATTTAAAGCAGATCAAATTTCTTACGTAGTTACGGCTTTAGTATTCTCACAGAACAGTGCAGTGCTAATATCTCGCTCATATGGTGCCATAATTAACAAACGTTTAAGGTCCGGTTTTGAGTAGTGCTGTCACAACGGGTCATAATGTCCTACGTAGTTGAAAAGAGAAGGCTATATATCGTTTCTATAACAGCTAACTAAGTATGTATATGTGCACATTAAGTTGAAAAAATATAAGCTTTCACAACAGAAGGCCATTCTGTACGTGAAATTAATAAGTTTGCATATCAGGCTAATATTAGATATAGTTATGAAACACATTAAGGTTATACTTGACTAGTTTTGTAACAATAAAATAATCGGTAACTAGCAGTATCAAAACAAAAAAAGGAAAGTCTAGACTGAAATGTCTGAATTACAATTATTCCAATTTTATTACAAAAAATTATACATATATAAAAATCTGTTATAATGTTAATAATAAGTAATGTATATAATAATAATTACAGATCAATTTCGCATTGTTACATTGAACAAAACAGGATACAAAAGTTTTGGAATATGCATTGTTAGAGGAGAGGTAAGGAAATTACTCATTTTATATATACCCCAGTAAAATAATTATATGTGCAGTACTTAAAATCTAATTTAAACTCCAACAAATTTTGTTAGGGTGAATTTAGTTTATTATTTGTTTTTATGTTTAGTAGTGTAATTAAAATAATAAAACAATTTTATTCAAATTAATTTTTTTTAAGTGAAGAATTAACTTTATTTTAAATCTTCATAGAAAATATTTATATGTGCAATTCACATTTTTTGCTAAAAACAATTAATTATTTTATGTGATTCAATTTTTTTTATTTTTCAATAAGGTAATGTGTTTCCATTATTTATTTTTATTAACTGTATCCTATGTGGCATTGAATCTACCAATTTTTAAAATAGTAGGAGGTCAATTTTGGCCTATTCGTCCAGTATGTCATTTTTCAGCTCTTTAAGAGTATCGTATTGCTTCGAATAAGCATAAATATTGGCACTAAGAATACCCCAAAGATCCTCTATTGGATTTATGTCAGAACTCATAGCCGGTCAATCTAGCAATGGGATGCTTCTCTCTTCAAATAATTTCTTTGTAGCACAAGGAACATGTATTGGAGCATTATCCTGTTGGAAAGTCCAATTATCTCCATGAATATTTTCAGCGAAATTTATCAGTTCGCTATCCAACAGATTTATGTATATTTCCGAATTCATTTTTGATGGTACGAAGCATATATTAGACTTTCCCTTCGAGCTAAAGGCAGCCCACACCATTAGTGAACCACTACCATGGTTGCGTTTGTTGCAATTCTGACGTGGATGACAAATATCTCTCCAATATTTATGTTGACCATCTGGACCATCTAGATTAAACTTTTTTTCATCACTGAAAACAACTGTTTCGAATTCCTCGTCCCAAAACTTATATTTGTCATGAAAAGCTAAACGAGCATTTTTATGTCTTTGTGTAAGGCGCGGTTTGGGAACTTTCGACTCATATGTTAGCTTTAAGTATTTTTTCATAATTTGTTGCACGCATTGCCTAGTGATAGACAAATCTAATTCATTTCTTCTTTGTCTGCAACTCATCCTCTCATTGGTAGCAAGAAGCTGAATATGCCGTTTTGTTCGGTTGTTAATAGTTGGTAAGCGGCCGCCTCTCTTATAACACCATATTTTTCGAGATTTTTTAATAAGTTTATTATAGTATTCAGGTGTCTATAACCAGCAGCAGATATTTCGCCACTTTTCATCCCAGCAAAACTCATTCCAATAATCTTTCCGCACTCTTCACTTGAAAATTCCGTCCCATGCGGCATTTTTTATCTAAATTAATTAAAATAATAAATATTTATTAATAAATAATAAGTATTTTACTTACCAATTATTCTTTACTCTTCAATACTTTAAAAAAAAAACTTTATAATACTTTATTTCCATTTACTGTTGACACTTCGAGAAGCAAAACAATTTTGCACATATAATTATTTTCTATGAAATTTGCTACCTATTGTTATTAATCATGATAACGGTACCACAAATAGTATACAAAAAAAACTCCATATATGGTCAGAGAAGTTAAACTCAACTACAGAATCAACTGTATATAAAAAAAATTAGTACCATTATTCTAAGAAGAGAATAACGAAAAACAAATTTTGCACATATAATTATTTTACAGGGGTATAACATCAAATAACATCAACAGTATATAAATGATGATGTTTTTATTATATTTTCTTAATTATTGTTTTCTTTCTTAATATAATTATTGCATTACAGTTTCAGTTGAAAATAAATATTTTAATAAAAATATTCTTAGTTTTCTATCATTATTGCACTTTTGTATGTTCCTACTAGTGCATTAAAATTCTAAGGGTAAAGTATAATTAATGCCATCCTGTGTCAAATGCGTTCCTACATTCTTATATTTTTTAAATATAAATTAAAATTACTCTATTGTTTACATTAACCCATTTTGGACCACCGGCTAATTTTGAATTCTTTTTAATATTCAAAGAATATTTTGTATTTTTTAGGGAAAAAGAAAGTGAGAGTAATCTTTCAAATAAATATTAAACTTTTCTCATTTACTTCAACTTGTTTTATTTTACTATTTACTATAGAAATTTTACCAAAAAATTTCAAGTCTGAAATTGCCTGGTACTTAATGGATTAAATAAAGTAATGATGTTAATTTTGCTCTGTCGTAGTTAAGACACTCTTTACACCATGTTCTTGGTATGGCATAGGCTTAACGTATACAGATACTATATTACGCATGATCATACTCCGTTCATTAAGAACACGAATCCAACTAACAAGATCCATGGGTATGAGTAAGCACGGACACTAATGTACGAGGCGAGTTGTTATGATTATATCACTGCAAATAATTTAATGGTGGTAAATTAAGGTAATAAATCTAAAATTAACTAATAGTCAGGAACTAAACCTTGAAGTAAACAAACATGAAAATATTATTACAAGGCTTTTAAAAATAGCTGTAGACCTGGAACATGCCATGGTGGAATAAAGAACTGAACATTTTGTGCAAATAAACCTTTCAGCTCCTTAACAGAGCCATCAGGGCCTAAGCATCATATAAAGATACTTTAATGGCTTACAATATATATATATATAAATGTTGTTGGACGTTAGGACAACGCACCGTCTAACAAATAGCCCACTGAAGTGAAGGATTGATCGAAGTAGACCATGAAACGACTTGGGTCCTTTTTATAGTTCGGATTCTAGGATCTCATTATTGAGTTAAAGCTAAAGTGGCTTCCGTTCGCTAACCACATCTCTTTCTATTGCAAGCAGCTTATTTCCATTTTGTAGGTTTATTGTTTTTTGCCTTAACATGAAATCAATCCATCCAGTAATAAGTGAACAGATTTCTCGGTCAGAAAAGAACAGATTTTAATTTATTAAAGTTTACTTTGTCAAAGGCACCTTTGATATCTATCATGATAGCCATCGATATGCCTACTGAAGTTAGCTCTCTCTCAGCTGCCTTCACGACGTCGTGCAGGGCAGACTCTATGAATCTCTTCGCACTATAGGCATGTGGACCTCTGCTTTAAGTATGTTTCAGTAGCGTAGTGAATTCTAGATAGTCCACTATTACCTTTTCCATAGCTTTAAGCATGAACGAGGTAAGGCTGACTGGCCTTACTGACTGGCAGGTCAATACCCACCGCAGGAGCGCTGTAAATATGCCTTTCCTTTCTGCTTCAAATCTTTCCTCACTGTTCATTCCCTTTTTGGGAGAAATCATCATATTTAAAACTTCCTGGAAAATGGGTTTCCATAAGAGTACTTGGTGAGTGCTATGTTCTCCGTCATAGTACCATTCTGAGTCTGGGTCTTTGGTGACCAAGTTTTGTATCCGACTTACTTAGGAGGTGCTTCACACTCAAACGTAGTGTGCGTTCGCATCACATTTCATGACGATTTGTAGCTTTTTCTTCCAATAATACCCCATCAGTCTGATTACCTCCTGACTAGGAGGTAGTTCAGTTGAGTCGTATGGCAGACGCCACGATTAGGGTGTTTGCATCGCTCCCTACTCTTACTGTAGTAAAGTCTGATAAGCATAGATTAGGGATTTGGATGCAGTGTATCCCCTTCTTTACCATTATGCATGTCCTTATTTTTCAGTTGTTTGTAGAAAGAACAGCTTTGGCTTGATCTAGACCACAGTTGAGCGTGCCTCTTCCGGTCTTAATCGCCTCAGCGTCTTCTTTAGGGCAACACCCTGCAAGCATGATGCCAACACTGCTTGTATCGCCAAACTTGCTGAAATTAGTGACCCTTATTTCGTAGTGTCTTTAATAAAGCTGTTTTACTTCTGCAGTCTGCTGAGAATACTTTCCTTACCTACGGTAGACTCGTAGACAAAAATAAATATCCCTTGGATTGTTGGTTTTTACATTTAATGGTAATGTAACCATCCTCAAGGCGAGCATTACCAACAAACCCTATGTCACCTATACCGCCATCTAGCGGCTCCACGGCGTTCAACAAAGATGCTTTGAAAGCAACTAAGTATTTCTAGCCAAGAGATCCTTCGAATCTTGAATCAATAACACCCATATTGAGATTCGTTGCAGCAGCCTAGGCAAAGGACCTCTTATGGACAGGGCCATAATTTGCGTCTCTTGAAGCCTCATTGTCCACCTTATCAGTGTCAACCACCTCACCTTGTTTAGGGTTTGTTAAAATTTTTTAATCAATTTTATTCCACGATTTGTGAAAACAAATATGTCCACCTGCGGAAAGCTTCGCCAGGTATCCTGAGTTTGTTTACATCCCAGCAGCCAAGCAAAAGGCGTAGCTGTTTCACTTTAGTTTAGGGGCTTTGTTTCTAATACATGAATTCCACTCAATCACATATACATTTAATCATTCTTTCTTATCATTCTCTAAAAGGATGTTTACAGCAACCCCGCCCGACTATCTGCGTCAAGCGATAAGCAGAGACATGACCGTACTTTCACTTCACAGTTGACCTGATAAATAGTCGCACTTTCCAAAGGCTGGTCAACTTAGCAGGACCTGAGCAGATGTGTGCAAACATACCCCTAGCCCCTTGGAGATTACCCTTAACCTGCTAACAAAGGGATCGACTTATTAGGAATCATAACAAGCTACTTTGACCTACGCCCCCCCCCCCACTTTTTACCAGGAATCGTAGTAGGAAACCCTACTTTGACCTGTGCATTTTCTCTTTTAGTGCCTTTAACGACAAGCAAAGATCTACTGAAGTAGTATTCTTATCCTGCTACAACACAGGAACTTTATTCTTACAATAAAAAATTGAGGAGCTAAAAGAGAATATCATGAAGGGGGCACTGTGAGAAAATTGAAACACTCCCAGCGACTACAGGACTCCAGACATCCCTGAACAAAGAGCATTTAAACGTCCTCTATACACTAATGATGGCTGAGGGAAACTTTACGAAATGTCTGGGGGAAACTGGGCAGATATTGCTGGACACTTATTTTTAAAGCTGTGCTATGTACATTGAGACTAGGGAAACCACCGAGGATACTCATTTCTTGGTGGCTACACGAAGAAAACTCTCACTGGTTTGTGAAATATTCACAATCAATAAAACTTAATGGACCATCTTCACTTTTATTCCATTTATATGGACTAAATATAGAAATATAGCTATCGACAATATAGAACCGTGTCTTCTTCAAAGACGCGTTAATATATTAGCACCGATAACAACAAAAATGTTTAGGATAACTCTTTTTTAGGCATGATATCTAAATATTGGCGAAGGCTATGGTAGGTTTCATATCCAAAAAAAGCAGGCTAAAAAGCAGGCAAAAAGACCGCACGGCAAAAGTTTTTCGGCCCATTAGCCTCATTTCTTTTCGGCTTAAAGCAATGGAGAAGATTCTAGATCAATATATCAGGGAAGTTCAAATTAAAGTTTCACCTCTTCATATTGAGCAATATGCTTACCAGTCGGGCAAATTAACTGAGACCGCTATACACAGTCTGACGTAAAATCGATAAGGCTTTAGATGAGAAAGGAATAGCTCTCTGTACATTGGTTGATATTACAGGAACTTTTCATAACCCAACATTCAAATCAATTAAGAAAGAATTGATCGGGAAAGGAATACATCGACTGATCATGAGATGGATTCTCAATATGCTGAGAAATGAGATGATAATCTTTAAAATGGGGGCAAGAGATTAATTGTCAAGTCAACTAAAGTATACCCTCAAAGAGGCGTTTCATCGCCACTCTAATGACTATTGGTCATTGACGAGCTCTTACAGACTCTTGATGACCTCAGATACGAAGTTCAGGACTTTACAGATGATCTGGCAAACTTAACTCTACCATAACCGATAGGGTGCAACTAACCCTTGACATCACTCAACATTGGTGTTATGAGAAAGGACTCTCAATTAATCTAAACAAAATATCACCAGAAAAATCCCCTAACACATCCCCTAACAATAATATAATTTAATAATATAATTTAATAAAAAACACTTACACAAGAACAAAATTGCTACTTGCTCTCAGCAAGTGATTGAGCTCATCGAGATAATATGATATCTATTTATTATATTTATTTTGGAAAGCCACTAAGCGATTAAAAGGCCCAAAGGAAACTGAACCACCCCTAAGGCTGGGAAACGGAAAATGGGCAACGAGTAATGAGAAAAAAGCTCTAGCATTTGCTGAACACCTGAAAACGGTTTTACACCCAATTCACCTACGGGTCATTTAAAAATTAGTGCCAGCATTAGAAATGCGGAAAGTGCTGGCAAGGACGTAACACAAATAACCTCTTACAGACCAATTAGCTTACTGCCAACCCTTTCAAAGATGTTTGAAAAATTATTGTTAACAAAGCTTCCCCCGTGTATTACTCACCAATTTGATTTCCGGCATAAACACAGCACAATTGAGCAAGTTCACCGAGTGGCAAACGAAATTAGAAAGGCCTATGAAGGAAAATTCTGTTCTGCCCTATTTCTTGACAGTGCACAGGCCTTTGACAAAGTATGGCACGAAGGCCTAATATTTAAAATTAGGCAAATTTTTCCAGCTTCTTTCCATAAACTATTGATTTCTTACCTAACTACACGTAAATTCAAGGTAAAACTCAAGGATACAACCACAGATGAGATTGAAGTGAATGCTGTAGTCCCGCAGGGCAGCGTTTTTGAAACCGGTTTTATACCTCATATTTACATCGGATTTGCTAACTAGTCAAAAAATAATAACATCTACGTTTGCAGACGGTACTGCTCTTCTCAGTGTTCATAAAAATTCTTTCACCACTTCCCAGGAACTATAGGCTCATCTCAAGGACGTTCAAAACTGGCTAAACGACTAGCGTATTCGCGTAAATGAACAAGAAAAATACACACATATCCTTTACACTTAGAAAAGATACTTGTCCACTCGTAACTCTTAATAACGTTATTATACCAGCATCCCAAACCGTTACATATCTTGGTATTCATTTAGACCGACGATTGACATGGATACAACACATAGCCGTAAAACAAACACAAATAAAACTAAGGTTCCTTAAATTGTATTGGTTACTCAATAAAAATTCAAGATTACAGCTTGCTCACAAAGTCCTGTTATATAAAACTATGATTAAGCCTATATGGAAATACGGGGCCCAACTCTGGGGTGAAGCCGTCAAATGTAGATATTACACAGCACATTCAGTCAAAAATACTTCGTTCATTAACAGGAGCACCCTGGTTCCTCAGAAATTCCATCATACATATGGACCTTCATGTACATCTAGTTAAAGACGAGCTAGCTCTCCTACGGCAAAAATATGATACTAAAATAATTGTGCTTCCTAACCTACTCGTTTAATATCTTACCAGAACAAGAAATATATCCCATCTAAAAAGATCAGATTTACCGACATACCTTTAATGCATCCTAAATGTATTACCACATCAAGTTCAATTATTATTAAAAATCAAAAGTTAAGAATCTTACGTTTTAAACAAGGAAAGTTTAGGTTTGTGACATAAACTTTAAATGTATATTTTTAGTATGTAAGATTTAAATAACTATTGTTAGACTTTTTAGTGATTCAATAAATAAAAGAAAAGAAGAAGAAAAAAAATATTTATTTCAATTGTGTGGTGTGGATTCGTGAATTACAAAACTTCTCGGATTAGATATTTGTTAAATAATTAGACTGATACAAAATTTGTGAAAGTTCATTTCTCCTCTTCTCTTATGTAATACACTTAAAGTAATACATTTATAGCTTATAATAAAAAAATTTTATTTAACATTTTAACACAATATTATAGGTTAAAGACTCACCCAACACAAAAACTTCGGGAATATTCATCAAAGGAATTGTTCCTGACAGTCCAGCACATGTTTGTGGACAACTTAAGGTATGTACAACTACATTCAAAGAGATTTGTATTTCTTATCTATAATTATAAATGATATATAATTTTATATATATATATGCTGCTATAAAAGCACAAACATATTTATTATTACTACTATATTTTTATTGTTTCAATAATTAAAACTATGAGGAGTAAAAACATAAGCTATTGTAACTAAAGCCATAATATTTCTATACAATTATTAAATTTTAGGTTGGTGATCGTATTATGACTTTAAATAATAAGGATATAAAAAATGCAACAGAACAAGCTGTAATAGAGCTTATTAAAGAAGCTGGTATAACAATAAATATGGAAATACAAACATTTGATAAGGTACGTAAAAATTATAAAACTAAATATCATAAGTTTTGCGTTATCCTTAAGACCCATATTGAAACATTTTCAATCTGTCCTCCTGGCTATATACCTCCAGTTGTATTATCTTATGACATAATCTAACTAAATAGGACGAAAGTTTTCATTGTGAAGGGCATCAAATTAACAAGGGAATTCTGGCAACGATTGTGAAAAGTCTTTCGAAAAATTGTTGAAAGTCTTTCAGAAAAAGAATTCTGATTATAAAAATCGATAACAGCAACCATCATCTGCATTGTTTCCTCTTTTATCTATCAATGTCGGCAGAAGACTCTCGACACAAAAAATTTTATCATACATAAATGTACATTAGAACATCTTGACCACTAAAAAGATATTCCTTAGTGTACAAATGTTATTATAGGTACCATATTCTGCAATGACATAAGCACATTCATCGGTACTCCATACACTTTCAGTAGTCGTCATAACGCTATCCACAACACAAGAGCCCTTGGCCATAAGAATCATTGAACCATTTGGTAATAATCAAATCATCACATCTTCATCAGCACCACGTAAAATCGCGCCAAATGCGTAATATATTATATTACCAAACATGTATAAAGTCCCACATAATCAAAGATATGGTACTTTGAGGAATTTGATATTTCTCTCTGTCCGTCTCATTGTATCGAAGATTAATGTTAGATTAATGTACGTAAAGATATTTATATATATAAATATAAGTAATTACAAGTATATACCAGAGTTCGTATTTGCGTATTCATGAGCGGTTATTTTCAACTCATTCTGCTCAAAAGTCATGAGCAGGCAAGAAACTCTTTTCAGACGATAGCTCACGTTCACGAGCGAGGCCAATTGCAGAGCTCACGCTCGTAAGCAAGAGCAACCATTAAATTAAAACAAAACAGAGCCATTAAAACAAGAGTACGAGCTGAGGCTCATGAGACCTCATCTACTGCTTACAAGAAAATTAAAAATTCATGACATTGTTGTTGTCTTCATTGCACAATTTGGCTCGTGCCACTTTTTATTTGAATTTTGTGCGTTTCCTTAATTAATCGTTTTATATTAATTAAAAAGTTTTGAACTATATTATATAGTGTTTCGAAAAATTTTAAAATAAAAAAATTAATATTTCAAAGTTTTACATGAATGTAGGTCGTGTGCGAGTTAGGCTAAGTTGGATTCTAAATGAGGGAAATTCTAAGTTGTGCCGATAATGTAGTGATGTGTCGATACGTGTTGATAAATGGCTAAATGTGTGCTGTGCAAAAAATCCTAAAAAATCTCCCATTTGGTTTAGCATCAACTTAGCCTAACTCGCACACGTCCGTAATAAAACAATTTGCTTACCATGCGAAAAACAATGTATTATTGTTTCATTATATTATTTTAATAAAAATAGTAATAAGCTAAGTAAATTTCAAACTATATGTTTTCAAATAGCAAATAACGTAATAAAAATAAATAAAGCAAATAAACTAATCAAAAATAAATCGCTTTTTAATGAGCAGTTAGCTCTCGGCTCGTGAGACCTCATGAAATTGAAGGCTCTCGTTGGTGAGTACCTCTTTAATATGAACCAATTTTGGGCTCACGTAATAATTGACTCTTGCTCATGTGCCTGAGGTGCTTATGAGTGAGCAAATACGAACCCTGGTATATACTCTATACTTTACTTTCAATACCATATACTTTTGCACGGAATATTTTCTTTCGATACTTACCAGGTACTTAATATCAAAAAAAAAAAAAAATTGATAACGAAAGATAATTACTGTAAATAGTTTGAACAATGTGTATTGTATCAAAGCAATCAAGAACACAAAATGAGGTACAGTAGATATTTCAATATTTTTTGAAGACTTGTAAAAGTTGCTTATACATTGTGACCGAAAGGTTTTCGGAAATTCTCATTTAAAATTCGCGCGCTGTATATTTTTCGATATTTTAAGTTTATGTAGTTTGGCAGCACTGTCCTTAATTACTATGCCAAAAATGAGCGCGATCTGTCGGACAGTTCGTTTACGGCAGCTGTTGAAACCAGTTCACCTCAGTAGTGCGTTGCGAAAAAAACAATGGAAAAAAATATTGAACAAAGAGTTTGCATCAAATTTTGTTTTTCGAACGAAATTTCGTGTGCAGAATCGTTGCGAATGCTACAAAAGGCTTATGGGGAATCAGTTTTATCGAAAACTCAAGTTTATGAGTGGTACAAAGCCTTTCAGGACTGTCGTACGACCGTCGAAGACATGCCGCGTTCTGGACGACCTTCGACCTCTACCACCGACGAAAACATTGAAAAGGCAAAGGAAATCGTGTTCAAAAATCCTCATGTGAGTGTTAGAGAGATAGCACGAGAGCTAGGCATCGGTCGTGAGATGGCTCGTTTGATTTTGGTGGACAATTTGTGTATGCGACGTGTCAACGCCCGGCTTGTTCCGATTCACCTCAATTTGTTCAACATTATCAACGATTTTAAGGCCAAACATTCAATAAATACCATCGAACAGCCACCGTATTCACCTGATCTTGCACCGTGTGACTTTTTCCTGTTTCCCAACCTCAAATTACCACTCAGAGGAACGCGTTTTGAATCCATAGAAGACGTAAAACAGAATTCGCAGAGGGAACTCAAAGCCATACCGGAAAGCGCCTATAAAAAATGTTTTGATGATTGGAAGAAACGTTGGCATTTGTGTATCGCTTCTAATGGAGCATATTTTGAAGGAGATAAAATAAATATTGATGAAGGTTAAGAATTTTGCGTTTTATTTAAAATTTCCCGAAAACTTTTCGGTCACAATGTATGAATAACAACTGATACTTTCATATATCCTACTATACCAATATACATTCTAACAGTATTATGTGTCAACTTTATTTTTGTAAATAAAAGTTATTCCTTTAAATGGTTTTTTTAGGATGAAGAAAAGACGCAAGATGGATTTGAAAATGGTTTTATTCAATCAAAACAAAAACATTTTACTGGTAAAATTAAATAAACCCAAATTATTAGTCTGGAAAATTATTTAATAAATATTTCGAAAATTAGACCAACCCAGCAAACAATCCATGAAACAACCTCAAATAAGTAAAATTGAAAGTACAGAGAAAAGACCACCATTCACGGCATCAATACGTATCAAAAATTTTACGAATGTAGATGACGATGAGGATACAAGAGACATGACTGGTCGTATACGTACTGAAGCTGGATACGAAGTAAGTTTATTATCTATTACTCTTAGCAAAACGATATATTCTATTATAATTTTCCACATCTTTATTTTATGTATATTTGTTCATTATTTTCAGATTGATCGTGCATCGGCTGGAAATTGCAAGCTAAATAAACAAGAAAAAGAACGAGATAAAGAACAAGAGGATGAATTTGGATATACGATGGGTAAAAAATTGTTTTATATTATACAAAATTTCATGATTCTACATAAATATGTTTATTTTAGCTAAAATCAACAAAAGATATAATTTAATGAAGGATGTTCGAAGAATTGAAGTGCAGAGGACATCATGTTCTCCATTGGGTATTGCTCTTGCAGGACATAAAGATCGTCAAAGGATGTCATGTTTTGTTGCTGGCGTAAATCCGACGGGTATTATGGCGACAGTGGATATAAAACCATGTGATGAGATACTTGAAGTAAATGGAAATGTTTTACAAAATCGTTGTCATTTAAATGCATCCGTAGTTTTTCAAAATATTGATGGTGAAAAGCTTGTTCTCATTACTTCTCGACGAAAAACTACTGACGAAGGTCTATCTGTCAAACCTATTAAAAAATTTCCGGCTGTAGTAGATGACGTAAGCAGGATTATAAATAAAAGTTTAATAATTTAATAAATTTATTATAGACCCGGTTTGTATTTGAACAATTCCCTAAAGCACGATCAGTTCAAGTTAAGAAGGAAGGATTTCTAGGCATAATGATCATTTATGGCAAACATGCCGATGTGGGTAACGGTATATTTGTTTCCGATTTACGCGAAGAATCAAATGCTATGTTGGTAAGTTAAGAATTAAGTAAAATTTATTAATAATCTAAGATCGTAGCAATGTTTATAAATTAATAGGATATGTGTATTAGGTTCAAGAAATCCTTGATTCTGTCAAGGTAGCAAATAAAGGTTTAATTATTTAATAAATTATTTCATATTGTGAAATAAGGTCACACAAATTCATATATTCTAACTAGATCTAGAAATAATTATAATTACTTTATTAATTCGTAGTATATGTAAATCGCAGTAATCTTTTCTCGATCAAAATTGTATTATATATATAATAACCTAAAATTGAAAGCCCAGTTCCTGGATTCATATACTTTTTGTATGAGATTACAAAAACAACTACAACACAAAGAAGATCGTTTTATTTTTCTGTTTTTAAAAATAAATAGCTTAACTTTTTGGCTCGATACATTTAGTCTAGCGTTTTTCTAATTTTCTTAGGTTTTCTCAAAGCTCTCAAAATACGCGTTTGTTTCGGTAATGACTTGTTCATTCGACTCAAATCTCTTACCGCCGTCATTTCTTTAGGTTTAGAAACTGAAAATAGTCGTAGGGAGCTAAATCTGGAGAATATGCTGGATGGGGTAGCAGTTCGTATCACAATTCATGGATTTTGGCCAGTAATGCTTAATCAGCTTTCACTTTTTTCCATTTTCGTAAAAATTCACGAGGTTGTCTTGAACGACGTAGCGTGCTCAAAATTGTATAGTTGCCCACTGGTAGATTACACCTGACGGCAGCACTATTGCATGTGTAGTAACTGCGCGGTAAATTCAAAAAGTCACTGACTTATCAAACCGCCCTCGTATTTGTAATAGCACATTGAATGTATTTTTTGAATGGGCATATTGTTTTCCTTGGCATATCTCCAACTTTTACGCCAATTTTATAATACGGCTTGTCAAGGAACTGTCGACATTAAATAGAAAAAACTGGGATATACTTTTCTTGTATATTAACTTACTCAAACTTAACTATACTTATTTTAGGATGCCAAACATCCCTATTACATTTTAGAATTTACGTGTTTTTTATAACAATAGCACAATTCATGACATGCGCAGATTGATTTATTTATTTAGGATGCTAAAGATTATAATATATGCGCATGTACATCCGAAATTGCACAAGAGCATTGATAAAACTATGATATGAAATATTATTATCTCAACCAGTGAAAATATGAAGTACCTTCTACTCAAAAAGTATCTGAATTTTGTTGTTTGTTAACTACTCCTTAAGTAATAGATCTTTTTCGAAAAATTTTTTGTTATGACATATGGTACAAATTTGAGCGCCATCTGTCAATTAGTTTGTTTACAGCAGCTGTTAATGTGAGACTACATCAAGTGCATTTAACGATTTTTACTATGGAAAATTCTTGTTGTACGCGATTTTTTGACCAAACACGGCACCACTGTCATCGCTCAGGCACCATATTCGCCAGATCTGGATCTGTGCGACTTTTTCCTGTTTCCGAAACTCAAATTGCCCCTTCGTGGTCGATTGAATCGGTAAAAGAGAATTCGCTAAAGGAACTAAAAGCCATACTTTCACGGGCCTACGAAAAGTGTGTGAAAGATTGGGTTAAGCGTTGGCATATGTGTATCGCTTCAGAAGGAGCATATTTTGTAAGACATAAAATAAATTTGGAATATAATTTAAATTTGTGTGTTTTATCTACGAAATCGAAGTACTTTTTGAGCAAAAGGTATACTACAAACGAATTCCTAGATTTGGCAAAATTGAAACATTACACTGCGATAGTCTATAAACCAATAAGTTTAAAATAGATATTCCAAAATCAAAACGGACCGATTCGTTTTAAAATGAAGAGAACCTCGGTTATAATGCGAAAAATATTTGTATCCTATGACTAAATTTGCAACAACGATGGCATTGTATTCAAACGTGTTTCAAAACTAGTTTCTTTCATCAAAGCATGTTTAACGTGCTTTAAAAGTGTTGGTCAGGACACAGTTTATGTATATCTATCCTAAAAGACGACATAAAGTATATTAAGTGTTTATTTGAAGCTTAACAATGAACAGTTTTCTTTAGAACTCAAATCAAAAACTTAATGCTGAATAATAAAAAATTAATATTTAATATCATTTTTATATTACCTAAAAACATTTATACTTAATTACTATATAAATTTATACAATATAATTTAAACTTATTTTAAGGCTGGAATAAAAGTAGGAGATTTACTTCTTGCAGTTAATAAAGATGTAACTCTAGAAAGCAGTTATGATGAGGTACTTATTGAAACAAATTTATTAATTAGTAGATAATTTACATAAAAATTTTTCTAAAAAGGCTGTTGCGTTAATTAAACGAGCAGAAGGGATTGTTACCTTAATAGTTATGAGTCTAAAGAATGATGAAACTTTACGTGCCGAAAAAGAAGTTGAAGAAAAGCAGAAAACGGGTAAAACATGTTTAAAATGCAAGATTAACACTATTTACACTCTATACACTCCTTAATTATTTTACAGAAGCTGCAAAGGTGGAACCTGAGAAACCACAAGAACCCGCAACTGCAGATGTACAAATGAATAAGAAAACAATAATTGAAGTAAAAATTGAGAAAAAACCGCTAGGAGTTATAGTTGTTGGCGGAAAGAACAACTATGTCAAGGTAAATCATGTATGAAAAAAAAACCAAATGTGTTTATATCTTTTGATTACAGACTGGATGTGTAATTACCCATATTTATCCAGAAGGAGCAATCGCTGCTGACAAACGCTTAAAAGTTTTCGATCATATTCTAGAAGTGAATAGTGTTCAAGTAAATTGTGCCGAAATGACAACATTAAAAGTACACCAACTTTTTCATACCAAATACGATAATACTGTAACATTTCAAGTATATCGTGCCGATCCACCGGAATTTGAAAAATTCAATATTGACTTTTTAAAAAAACCTGGTAAAGAGTTTGGTCTTTCACTGACAGAAAATGAACGCGGGTGCACGATTTCTGAATTAGTAATATTTGGTCTAATTTTATGTAAAATAATGTAAAAATAATTAAATTATTTGTTTCAGACTCCAACAGGTTACGCGGAAATCGATAATAAATTGCAACGGGGTGATATAATTACAAAATTCAATGGTGAAAATTTAGATGCTTGCTCTTTTCCTGAATGCTATGCATTGATTAAGGCATCGAGTGGAAAAATTAGTATGGAAATTACTCGTCCAAAACCTGCATGCCGCACTGAAGCTTCAAAGACATAAGTTTTGTAGAAAAAACTTAGAGATGCACTATTATGTTGAATTATTATTTTTATTTATTGTTCGTAACGTTTTTCGAAACCAATTATATATGAAAACTATATGAAAATTTAGAGCTAATGGTGTCAATTTTTATAATATTTTATTTTCTTAAACGCTATATTATCAAAGCACGTGTTAGCATAAATTCACAGCCTAACACATCCGCTTTTTTATGTATATTAAATTTATGTTTTAAACATTTTTATGTAATATGAAATAATATCTCCAATAAATCAAATAACATTATTAAGAGCAACGAAAATAAGGGTCAAAGAAAATAACTGTAATTGAATATAGTAATTTTAGGTTTCAAATTAATTGTATATATACAAAATCTGTTGTTATAATGATAAGTGAAATTTAAATAAAATAATTACAAATAAATAAATAATGATAATTGACCATAATGCTAAAAGTTTATATACGGTAAAACCTTAGTAAGCATATTAATATTCGTTTTATTTTCATTTTGCTTTGTGCTATCAGTCACCAATTCTGAACAAATAGCCAGAGAGTATGTACCCTTTACGACCATGTAGCCCTTGTTTCCATGATAAGTTATGTTCTTTGGTGTTTTTACTCTTAATAGATCCACATAATTCACATTAGTGTGCAGGAATGCTTATGATGTGTTGCACCATGCTGGCGATCATATGTAATATATATAATTCTTGCTGCAGGTCGAAAATCTTCACAACTTCAAATGCATTTGTCCTTCAATAAAACCTCCTTCAATAAACCAAAACTGTCATCGTACATGAACTAATGTGGTTTGAGTTTCGCCCTGTAACTTTTGACTAGGAAATAGAGTTGGTTGGTTGATTGGTTGCAGTGGCAGGTCATAAGATAACTTCAAATGTACCTCAATTAGCGATTTTTCGTCGTTTTCTTACCACATTCCTCGCAAGAACCCTAGTATAGAAGAGTAAAGACTAAATCCATCCTACTGAATTTAGGTAATTTAATAGGTCTTTCATCTTCGCCATTGAGCAGTCTGATAAACTATCACAAAAGAATTTTCCTAAAAACCTATATCTTCTGGATGCTAGAGCTGGGCATTTACAAAGAAAATGTATTATTGTTTCTTTCTATTGCGGGCTTCTACAACTTCTGCAGTGAGAGTTATAGGGAATACGCAGTTTCTCTGCGTGAGTTCCTATACACCAATGACCAGTTAGAACTGCAATAAGCCTTGCAGTGTCTACGCGATCTCTTTTGATCAGTTCCAGGGATTTATTTTTATTATAAGTGGGCCACGTTAACCTGGAAGTTGCATATGACCTTAGTGCTTTCCATTTGTTATTGGCGAGTTGCAGAAAGTAAAGGAAGGCACTTCTTTTGATGGTCTCCAGGGTAATACAAACCGGTACCGCCAGTGACGCGTCTAGGGAGGCACCAGAGCGGGCTAAACTATCAGCTTTCTCATTCCATACGATGTTCCTATGCCTAGGAACCCAGATGAGTGTGATATCGGCCAACCAATTTAGCTCGTCGATTGCTTCTCTACATTCTTTTACTATTTTTGATTTTGTTATAAAGGATTCAAGAGCCTTAATTGCTGCCTGGCTGTCAATAAAAATAGCAACACTACATCTGTTCTCGATGTGGCTTGCAATTTGCCGACAGGCTTCTCTTATTGCTAAGATTTCAGCCTGAAAAACCGTAGCCTCATTAGGTAGCCTAAGAGAGTTATTTATATTTTTAGACGCTGCGAAGATTCCTGCTCCTGCCCCACCACTCGTTTTCGAGCCATCTGTATATATTGAGATATCGTAATTTGCTTTGAAATTTTTCCTTTTCCACTCATTTCTTGAAGGGAATATTGTCTGAAAATTCCTTTCGTACCTAGAATCCGATTATGTCCATATGTTCGTTCCAACCATACGCCTGTTACTTTTAGTCTTACAGCGCTATTACAAACTATGTTTTTAATGTGAAGATCAATAGATAGCAAATGCAGCATCACGTTTAGGGCGTCCGAAGGAGTCGTCCTAAAAGCTCCTGTGATGCCTACACATGCCGTCCTCTGAATTCTGTTAAGTTTGTCGATATTATAGCTCTTGTTTAGAGCCGACCACCATACGACAGCACCATACGTGAGAATTAGGCGTACAATTGCCGTATACATCTAGTGGATAATATCGGGACGAATCCCCCATTTTTTGCCAAACATCCTCTGGCAAGAATAGAAAGCTACACATGCCTTCTTGATACGAAGATCGACATTGTGTTTCCAGTTTAACTTACTATCCAACAGAATTCCTAGATATTTGGTTTTTTCCGATAGTTTTAATTGTTGCCCGTTTAGTGAAGGCAACCTGAAAGCTGGTATTTTGGTTTTAGTAGTAAACAGCATTATTTCAGTTTTTCTTGGGTTAATACCTAGTCCACAACCTGTGGCCCAGGTATTTATCTTAGCCAAGGCCCTTTCCATAATGTCGCTAATTATGTTAGGGAACATACCTGACACTAGAATAACCACGTCATCCGCGTACGCTACTGCTTTCACACCTTTCTTATCTAGAATATTAAGAATATTATCCACGACCAGCAGCCACAGTAATGGTGAAATAACCCCTCCTTGTGGCGTCCCCCTACTGACGTGCTTCGTTTGGGTTATGCTGCCTAACTTTGATTGAATAATCCTTGTTTTAAGCATAGTAACTATCCAATTTTTAAACTCTTCTTCTAAACCTATTCTGGAAAGAGAGTCATTTATAGCTTTATTGCTTACATTGTTAAAAGCCCCTTCAATATCTAAAAAGGTTGCCAACGAGTATTGCTTAAAATGAATTGATTTTTCCACAGTACGAATGACCTCATGCAGAGCTGTTTCCGTAGATCTACCCTTGAGGTAAGCGTGCTGGGATTTGGAGATTGGAAAACGTTCTACCTTTTGTCTTAGGTGGAGCTCTATTACTCTCTCCATTGTTTTTAGTTAGAATGAAGTTAGGCTTATCGGCCTGTAATCTTTGACGGACTCATGTCCGATTTTGCCTGCCTTGGGTATAAAGACTACTTTAACCTGTCTCCAACTAAGTGGTACATAACTGTATTTAAGACATGCTTTGTAAATTTCCCCTAACCATGGAACCACTAAGTCTTGTAGTTTTTGCAACAAAATAGGGAAAATACCGTCCAAACCTGGCGATTTATAGGGACAGAAATTGTTAATTGAATACCTAATTTGTTCCGCTGTGACTATTGCTTCAGCCATCTGTGATGGTGTGCTTTCCAGGGTGATTGAACCGTTTTCTCTAGCATCATCGTCACAGTTTGGGAAATGAGTATCTAATAGTAGTCTTAGTGTCTCAGCAGAGGTTTCAGTCCATGTGCTGTCCTCTTTTTTGAGATAAGAAGGATTTGCACTTTCCTTGGATAGAACCTTGCTGAGCCTAGCAGAGGATGAGGTTGATTCAATTGACTTACAAAATTCCTTCCAGCCATTACTTTTGGCCTCCCTGATAGCTTTCTTGTAAGTTTTAAGACATTCCCTATATTCATGCCAACTATTGTGCTTATAGGTTTCGTTAAACTGTTTTCGTGTTTTCTGCCTAAGATCACTTAATTCTGAATCCACCAGGGTGGAAAAGATTTTTTGCTTCTACTTATTGGACAAGATTTCTTGTAAGCTATATTAAAAGCTGCCTCAAGATTATATATCCTCTCGTCTAACTTACTAGTAGAGTCTATCTTGATTTGTCTTACTTTATTAAGTTCCACCTTAGTTACCCTTGTAAAAACATTCCATTTTATCTTCTTCCGGTTTCTAAAGGGGATGGTATGATTTGGTTTAATGTTTAAGTTGAAAAGAATCCAACTATGATCTGAAAAGGATTTCTTGTCAGATACCTTCCAATTACTAACTACAATATCTGGATTTTCGGATAGGAGTGTTGTATCTAGCACTTCTTCCCAGTAGGTGAAAGTAGGTGTTTTACCTTTATTACAAATTAAAAGATTCGAATTGTTAATAAAATCAAACAGGTACTCACCCCTGTCATTGGTTTCCGAACTGCCCCAAACCGTATGCCGCGCATTGACGTCACATCCAATTATCGTGGGAATATCTTTTGATGTACTTCTGTTTACTAGCGCGACTACCTCTTCCGGAGGAGCATCTCTATCATGTGCCATGTAGGCAGAAGCCACAATAAAATTTTGTCCACCTGGCATTTCGATCCTTACTACTGTTAGATCATTATCGCTATACTGTGGACATAAAAAGGCATTAATACATTTTTTAACTAGGATACATGATCTTGGCTTACCATTGTTCCTAATATACAAATTGTTATAATTTTTCAGCATTAGCCCCATAACGTCCTTACCTCTGACCCATGGCTCTTGCACGATGCTGACATCGACATCCTCCTCGATGAGAAAGATGGCGAGATTGTCCGAGGCGATTTTCGAATGCTGAAGGTTGATTTGTGCTACTTTCAGCATTCGGGCAGGCTTACGAATTTTCTGAAGCTTCTTCCTGAAGCTTCATGTCGTCAAGCAATTTGTTAGCATCCTCTAACTCCTTGCCATCATCATCAATGCCTGTTGGGCGGAATATTTTTATTTTAGTGTACCGTACGCCAAACCTCAGCTTACAGTCCATTTCTTCCAGTGGCTTCACGGACTCCTCGTTTATCACCAGAAGAAGCGTCATATTGTTCTTTTGTGTGCCCTCGTCCTTGATGACTACCCAGTCATTCATTGGCACGTTTTGGTTCTGCCGTTGTAGCAGCTGGAGTACTTTCTCGTCCTCCATCTTCATAATTGGCAGCCAAATGCTGGTCTCGTCCTGAGACCGATCCCTCTACATTGCCTTTGCGGGTTTTGATAGGGTGGCCTGGTATTCCCTGTACTCATCGACCACCTTCTGGTATCGTAGTTTGTATGTACGGTCAAACGCCTGTTCTTTACTTTCAGCTTCATTTTTAGCAATTTTGCCAAGAATGAAAATAGTCTTCTGGTACCTTTGACGTCTGATCTTTGTCTCAGACTTTTTTGATTTTTCAGCAAGCGCACTATGGCTGGCGCGCTTGTCTGCCGATTTTTCTGTTATATGCGAAGTAGGCGCATTGCGACTGCTACTGCCTACATTGGTAAGTATGGCGGTTTCGACTCGCTCGTTTTCTTGACTTGATTCCAGGAGCTCGTCTTCGGAAGTGGTACCTAGTTCCTTGTTAGTTTTTTGTTTATTAATGTTTTTAAAAGAGTGCATAAATGTTCCCACGAGTGTAGGGGAAAGGGAGTTCGTCCGAAGCACAGCCCCCTTTACTTCGGAAAGGCTGAATTGAAACCGGAGGTCGCCAGGTATCCGGAGTCCACCGTTCTAAGACACACATACGCAGTGCCATTCATCCTTGGGCACGGTCGTTCATAAACCCAGGATTGCGGGTTTTATCGAGTTTTCCTCTCTAGAACCGCCATAATATGTGGCTCTGCACCACGTATGGACAGTCTTGGTTCATCATAAACCCTGGTCCCCAGACACCTAGTGGACCTACACACTTCCATTCACTCTAAAAAACACAAAAACACACATACATACATAAAGAGACAAAGACACACATACATGCACATAAACTACAGGACAACACAACTACTGGTAGTTCTTTGTTGTACCCACAAGCCAGACCGACAACAGGTCTCCTGACCATTGCATAGGCAGTGAGCAGGAGACCCATAGTCAGCAAGCTTGCCTGTAGCTAACCCCCTACACCACGTCAAGGTGCCTACCACGTAGGAAATAGAGTAATATCCAACATAATAAACGCATAACGTTTTGGCAAAATCGTTAGACATCTTTTATTTCAATGGATATTTGTATTCTAAAATCGTTCCCTAAAACACATAGCAGCAACAGAGTCCAGCCTCGGATTCTGTTTAAATAGTCTACTCGACTTGCGTATTGAATTATAATTTTGTAAAGCAACATAATCATTAATAAATTTTTTCTTTTGTACAATTGATAATAATTTTTTGAGTATTAAATAACGTTCGTGCCAAGTACACAAGCTTTCAAACCGTCACGTTTTCCTTTGACACGCATAAATGAAATGAAGATATGTGGTCATAACTTCATGACTAGTTTGCATATCTCCGAAAAATGTTCCATATTTCTACCGATAAGGTTGTTGTTATTGGATTCATTTTTATCCTTTTAAATAAATCTTCCGAAATGTGAAGGGTGCAGACTTCTTTCTATAAACAATAAAGACCATTGTTTATAGAATATCAAATTATTTGTTAGCTGCAATACTCTGCACCCACGAGACGCAAATTCTACCAGATAATGCTTTGTTGCAGAAATCATTCAGTCTTCAACAATAGTTGTTGACTGAATGTATGGCGTTCTATTGCCACAAATTGTTAAATATTACCTGGATGAGCACTAATCCACCACAATGTTATCGGATACATCATGGCTATTAATATTTGAAGACTTCTTTAATCTTGTGTAGAACTTTTGCTGCCAACAAAACTCCACCTAATTCGAAGAGTTGTAAAGGCTTGCCTTTCGACGGGATCAATTTAGATTTATTAGAAACCAAACTCAAAAAATTGGTTGTTTTCGCTTATACTGCAACCGCGTATACTTAGTTTGGTGAATTACCTTATCTTGGTTCACACGAACTTTATAAGACGGTACCAAGTCTTGCTGGGACGTCCATGGTCTAGGATCGAAATGTTTGCGTGCCCACGGCTCTAAAGCAATTTTAATAAAATTTTTCTAATAATAAGTCGCAAAGACCTTGATACGAGGTTCAATGAAAACAATGGGAGGGCATTCATCAGAGCTGCCTATACCATTACTTGAGTTGGAAAATTATTTCGAGTGGTCATTCATAGTCTCAAATGGCAGTGAACGGCAGTGCGGGTAATTAAGTAAACACGATCATTTTGAGAGTTTTTGAACTGCTCAATGAAAAAATTTTTCTAATCAGAGAATACTATGTTTGGAAATTCGCCACGTTCGTGTAAGCGTAACAACAACAATTTTGGAATATGTGCTGATGTTTTGCTAGAGTATTTTCAGTTCTCCGAATCGTTTCAGGTGATGTTGATGTTTTTTTTCGTCCTGCCTGAACTATTATAAAAATTTATGGTACGGTACATTTATGGTACAAACATTTTATTCACTTGTGTTCATGAACAGTTATTTTCCACCCAACTATAACGCAATCACACTTTTACGTTTGTAATGAAACTTTTCACTGCCTTTGATCGCTGGGATAGCTTACGGTCCTCCAGGGTTGTTACAAGAATATTTCTTTGTAACCCTGAATCTTTTCCGTGTGGTGGCGGGATAAGAATACCTCCTCAGTATGTCTCTGCTTGTTCTAAAATGCGACTAAAAGAGAAAATGCACAGGTCAAAGTAGAACTTCTACGATTCCTGGTAAGTCGTGAGGGCGCATAGGTCAAAGTAGCTTGCTACGACTCCTGATAAGACGACCCTTCTGCTAGCAGGTCGGCCCGGCATTTGCTCAGGCCATGCTAAGTTGACCAGCCTTCGGAAAGTGCGACTATCTATCAGGTCAACTGTCAAGCGATAAGTACGGTCATGTCTCTGCTTATCGTTTGGCGCAGATAGTCGGGCGGGGTGAAGGAAAACACCCTTTTAGTGAATGAGCAGTGAGAATGATTGTATGAATGTGTGAATAAATGGATTGTGTGTATTAGAAATAAAACCCCCCAAACTAAGATGGAACAGCTACGCCTTTAGCTTGGCTGCTGGGGTAGAAGCAGTCTTAGTAGCGAACTCAGGACACCTGGCGACCTCCTGTTTTAAACAGCCTTACCTGTGCAATGCGAAGCTCTCCGCAGGTGGACATATTTCTCTTCGCAACTCGTGGGAATCAAAATTACCGAACAAATTTTAACTATACCAACTCAAGGCGAAGTGGTTGACGCTGATAAAGTGGACAATGAGGCCTCACAGGCCGAGCTGATAGCCTTAGCTTCAGATGCCACAAAACATGACGGTCATGAGACCAACAAAATGGTGGACGAAGAAGTCCCGCAAGAGGCTGAACCGTTAACCAAAACAGTTGGAAACAGGACAACGACTGATCTCGACTTGGCCGAGCGTATCCGTCTGAACAAGAGGGAAAAGCAGAAGCGAAGAAGAGAGAAGCAAAAGGCTGCAAAAGCCACAAGATCGGTTGAACAACTAGCCGATCAACTCAGCGGACTATCGCATGTGGAATCATCGCTGGAGGAAGAACAGCTAGCAAAGAGGTATAAGAGCGGATGCCCTGAAGCTCCGACAGCAAGCTCAACTCCATCAGCTAAAATCACAGGCGATAACTCTGATGGTGGACAACTAGTAAAGGATGTCAGCCAAGCTGAATCGACAGTCAAAGATCCAACCAGTGCACGAGGTGGAGTACCTTATCAGGCACTCAACTGACCCGTATTGGTTGGTAAAAGGACCGTTGGTCGGCGTGGTGGACAACCTTTAGCGGCTGATAACCAGAAGAGAACGCAAAACGGATCTGGGGTTAAGTAAGGCGGACAACCCATACAGGGTGTTAACCAACCAAAACAAGGCAGACAACTTATAACTGTTGCTAACCAAGTGGGGCCCCAAACCAGTACAGCGGACCATCTACCTAGCACAAGTAAGGCTGAAAATAAACAAAATTACGGCAAGCGGGCAGTAGGAGACGCAAAGGATGGCCCTGCCATACCAGAAAAACATAAAGGTTGAACAACTGAATATTCATCACAATAAAGCAGCATTAGCAATGATCCTGCGACACTTTGACGAAGAAAAGTTGGACATACTACTGATTCAAGAGCCCTGGATTGTTCAAAACGCTATTAAGGGACTTGGTACATCAGTTGCCACGCTGTTCTTTCCACAGGCAGCTGGTAAAATAAGGACATGCATAATGGTGACGAAGGGGATACAATGCATCCAATTGCCTCATCTATGCTTACCAGATCTTACTACGGTAAGAGTAGGGAGTGATGCCAATACCTTTATCGTGGCGTCAGCCTATCTACCATACGACTCTACTGAACCACCTCCCAGTCAGAAGGTAATCAGACTGATGGAGTATTGTAGGACGAAAAGGCTAGAAATTGTCATAGGATGTGATGCGAACGCACACAACATTGTGTGGGGTAGCAGCGATAGTAACAACAGAGGGGAATCTCTCCTCGAGTTTATTGAAAAATACAATCTGATGATTGCAAACAGGGGGTTAGAACCTACCTTCGTTGACGCACGAAGGTCAGAAGTTATTGACCTAACCCCGTGCTCAGGCGCAATGACACAGAAAATTGAGAAATGGAAGGTTACTGATAGACTAACAATGTCGGATCATCGGGCTGTACACTTTAAAATACTCTGTCGTCCGAAACGCACTAATAGTCAGAGGCTAGTAAGAATTCCTGAGAATACTGATCAAGTAACGTACTTGACGTTGTTGGCGGAATTATTACAAAACAGGCCGCTGAGGAAACTCAAGACCACATGGAATATAGAGACAGAAATCAAAGCAATTACTGCTGCGATGATTAATGCATTCGAAAACGCTTGTCCCCAAACCAGCATTGCAGAAAAGTCGTCGACACCTTGGTGGAGTCAGGATCTTGATGTAAAAAAATGGAGACAAGGAAAGCCTTTAATAAATACATAAGGGAGAAGAACTCCGAATCATGGGACCTGTATAAGGCCAAAAAGCGTGAATTTAAGAAAGCATTACGCAACCGGAAACGGGAGTCGTGGCGGAATTTCTGTTCGAGCATGAAGGGACCTCTGAAGTAAGTCGGTTACAAAAGATGATCACCAAAGATCCGGTCTCAAGACTTGGTTTAATCCGAAAGAAGGCTGGTACAATGACGGAGACAGTAGGTGAGTCTGACTTCAGGTGGCATTTCGATGGCCATCATGATGGACATCGAAGGAGCCTTTGACAAAGTAAGCTTTGATAAATTAAAATCTGCTCTAGCTGACCGAGAAGTCGGTTCACTCATTATTGGATGGATAGATTTCATGCTAAGGCAAAGAGCAGTAAACCTACAAAATGGAAGACATAGACTGAGAGGCAGAACAGTCAGAGGCAGCCCACAGGGAGAGGTGCTTTCACCATTTCTGTGGAACGTGACCATAGACTCTCTACTTCAACAGCTTGACTTCAAAGGCATACAAACAATTGGGTATGCGGACGATATAGCACTGATGGTGAATGGCAAGTTCCCAGACACCTCAAATGCGTCGAAAAATGGTGTAGGGAACAAGGCCTAGCCATCAATGTCGCGAAATCAGACACTATCCTCTTCACGAGAAAGAGAAGTCTGTCAATGGAGCCTTAACAACTTTTTGATAATAAAATTCGCATATCAAAGTCGGTGAAGTATCTAGGTGTTGTCCTAGATAATAAACTGACTTGGAATGAACATGTGAATGAAAAGATCAGGAAAGCGAAGAGAGCTCTATTTCAATGTAAGAGACTGTGCGGAAGACGATGGGGGATACCCCAAAATCGATGTACTGGATCTATACGATGATGGGCAGAGCTATTATAACACATGCGTCAGTTGTCTAGTGGTGTAAAGTCACCCAAAAGACAATAAAGACGAAGTTAGATAGAGTCCAGCGACTAGCCTGTGTTGGAATAACAGGCGCTATGCGAACTACACCAACACCGGCATTAGAGGCGATGCTAGGTTTGCTTCCGTTGGATTTACATATAAAGAAAACGGCGGTACTGGCAGCAATTCGCATGAACCGGAGCTCTACGTGGAACAACTTTGGAAAATTAGTGGGCCATCTAACGTGCACTCTATATCTCGGAATATATGTTTCCGTCTATCAAGCGGAACTTATGGCGGTCTCACATGCTCTGGATCACCTATTGAATTGTCAGGTATATCAGAAAAAGATTCTGATAGCGCTGGACAACCAAGCAGTTATCAAAAGCATGCAAAAGACATACATAACTAACAGTTTAATTCAAGAATGTGTAACGAAGCTCAAAGAATATGCTCATGGATATGAGGTGACGATCATGTGGGTTAAAGGACACATCGGTAGTGAGCAAAACGAGAATGCAGATGAACTTGCAAAGCAAGGATCAAGCCATAATTTCTGTGGCCCGGTACACAGAATACCATTGGGGTACAGCATGACGGCAGCCTATGTCTATAAGTGGATAATCTCACTTCATCTTAATAGATGGAGAGAGTTGAGCACTTGTAGACAGACCAAACTCATGTTACCTAAACCGTGGGCCAGAGAAGCAATAAAGGTGCTCAGCTATTCGCGGAGCACCCTAAGCTGGCTGACCTCACTAATTACTGGACATGGCAACTTCAAGTATCACCTTAAAAAGATAACTCTTGCTGAGGAAGACACTTGCAGACTATGTCTAGAAGAAAAGGAGACAGCGGTGCATATATTGTGCCAATGTCCAGCACTGACAAGTAGGAGGAAGACTGTCTTGGGACACCATTGGGTTGGTGACGACTTGGCAGGAAACCTCAAGCTAAATGAGCTGCTTGCATTTACAAAAGATGTAGTCATGCGAACGGAAGCCACTCCAGCTTTAACTCAATAACAACATCCGAGATTCGAAGGACGAAAAAGGATCGTTTCTTCGACTAATCCTTCACTTCAGTGGGGTCACTTGTCGGACAGTGCGCTGTCCCAACGTCCCACCATATATATAACCCTGAATCTTCACGTCATATAATAATTTTAAACCATGGGTTAATTTTTAGTCTAATTTTTATTTATTACATATTTTTTTGTTTTGCATCGTTGCTAACTTGGCACTAGCAATATATTATATTAAAAATCTGTCATTTCGCCATTTTTGCACCAAAAACTTATTATTATATTATTTTTTATTATTATAATAAAAAATATATTATTTTCAACACTTTTTTCTCGAAAAGGTATTATATGAAGTCAACTTTCAGTCAATGTTCGAAATTTGTTGAATATATTTTTATATAGTAGCAAAATCGACTTTGGTTGCTGGTTTGGCTCTCAAAGTCGATTTCCACCAAAAAAGTTCGTAGTGTGAACTCCGTATTAGATTCAATATGTCTTCGGAAAAATAGAGATGTTTGATATTTAAACATCCAGGTACGCATTTCCATTTTAACTCCAAAGAAATTTTAATTAAGTGAAAATTCGTATATTATTATAAAATAATTAGATTTTTTTAATGCTTTTGTGATTAAAATTCAATGCCGCCTTTTTTTCTAGTAGTATAATATTTATGCACCTTATTACAACTTTGGTATATTTCCTCGAAACGGATTTTTAATGTCAAAAAGCCGAAACAAACAACGAATTTGCTTAAAAATTTCACCTCATTACACAAAATTTTAAATATTATTTGAATAATCCACAAAATTTTATACACAGTTTTTCGAATGAATTTGTTGCTTTTCTTTTTTGATTTGAATAATCCAGAAAATTTTATACGCAATTTTTTTAATAACTCTCAGTTCCTTTTCTTTATCTTCTTTGGTCAACATTCTTGAACGATATTTAATTAGGAAAACATCGATTGTTATTTGAATAATGTTATCAATATTAGCTGATTGTTTTGGAATGGTAACACCGTTGTCGTTTGTTTGGCTTTCACATGTCATTCAGGATTGATTTTCATTGTTTATATTTACGGTGGGTATTCGTTTGTTATAAATTTTATTCCGAAAATAAATTTTACTGTGATAATTTTATCAATTTTAAGTAATGAAACTGACGTCAAATTATATTTTTGTTATTTTATATAATCTTTGTTTCAGATAATTGTTTGTAACTTACATTGATTCTTTCCTCGCTTCCTATTATTTTAAAACGTATTTTAATATGAGTGATTATGAATCGGATGACGAAAAATCTCAATTTGAGAAATTGAAATATGCTACTGTTCCAAAAGGAATGTCTGTCAGCGGATGGGATGATGACGAAGACGATTTGGTAGAAGAAGACAGTAACCCAACAGGTATTTTATTAAATAAAAGCAGTTGATATTTGGCTCCCAATCATATTTAATTTTTAGCAACTTTGGACCGATATATACTTTGGGCTGTAAATGCAAATAATATTGAAGAAACTACGAAAATCTTGAATTTGGATGGTAAAGCTGTGTTCGCCAAGGATGACGATGGTTACACTCCTCTACATAGGTAACAGATTTTTTTAAGGTATTTTACGCTGCTTATTACTTTTTTAAGGACATGCTATAATAATTTTATTGGCATCACGAAACTCTTACTTCAATATAATGCTGATATAAATGCAAAAACTCAACTTGGATGGACACCATTACATTCTGCGTGCAAATGGAATAATGCAGACTGCGTTTCAATATTGTTGCAACATAATGCAGATGTTAATGTACAATCTGAAGGACTCCAAACCCCCTTGCATATTGCAGCCACTGTATCCAGTTGTAGAAGCACTGCGTTATTGTTGTTAATGGATGTTAATATTAATAACGACTTACTTAACAATTCGGAAGATACGGCACAACAGATTGCAAAACGAAGCGGTATGACGTATCCAATATTTGAAATGGGAAATCCTGCATATAGAGTAGAAACTGGTTTTATTGAGTAGTATTAAATATAAAAATAAATTTACAAATAAAAACTATTTTGCCAATTCGGTACAAAGAAAATACCGTCTTTTATTCTACTTCTGAAACTAAAACTTCATGTCTACAAGTGAACGCATTTTCATCCACTTATGAAAATGTACAAGGCATTCTGATCACGAAACAAGAATTGGTATTGAAGTCTGCCCATATCCAATATTTATTTATGTTACGCATGTAAATAAGAACTCTAATATGTAAAGGTAGTAAGCCCGGCCATAAAAAGAGTGAAAGGTATTTCGCAAAACATTTGTATTAAATAATTTTAATATGCGAACAAAAACGTCTTAGTAAAATGAGATTCTTTAAACAGGTTAACCTTGAACCTGAATATCGAGCTACATCGGCGACCACACCACATCAATGAACCACTTATTAGATTAACTTTGAATAAATACTGCAATAACAAATTTTAATAACACTAATTAATTAATTTGAATATCATCACTTTTTAAACTTCGAGATAACAATATAAAAAAACAAGAAGTTTATGTGTAATTTGTTTATTGGTTGAATCAAGCAATTGAGCTTGCATTAGATGCGATACGCGGCCACAAGTCCGCACATTCTTTTGCAACAGGACCAGTTATTGCAGAACCTTTCATTTCGCCTTTGTTATTTACAATGACGCCTGCATTGTCCTCGAAATATATAAAAACACCATCCCTCCTTCTAAAGGGTTTTCGTTGACGAATTACCACAGCAGGCATAACCTAAAAATATGTCCATAGAAATTTAAAGTCAAATAGATATACATAATTAATTTATATATGAATATGAAACTGTCAATAATAAATATAGTATTCATAATACCACATTTCGATCATATGGCGATGCTATGTAGTTAGGAATGAATGCTCTTTATTTATTTATTTCAAATTAATCTCTCTAAATATGTTTACCTTTTTCCGTAACTCAGGTTTGCCTTTTTTAACCGTAGCAACAAACATGTCACCAACGCCAGCAGCTGGGAGGCGGTTTAAACGACCGCGAATTCCATGAACAGCAATCACATACAAATTTTTAGCACCTGGCGAAAGAAATATTAAAAATTGTCAAATGCTATTATTAATAGATATATACCGGTGTTATCAGCACAATTCATTACGGCGCCAACAGGCAAACCAAGAGATATGCGGAATTTTCCACCAGCGGTACCTCCACGACCTACATAATTAGATAAAAATATATTTATCACAATCTCATCCACTTTTAATTTATAACACAAAAAATTAAATTTAGATCCAGTTAACAATTTAAGTTTGGCGATTATTTGAGATTATTTCTACCTCTTTTAGACATTTTGGAGCTGGCCTTTGTGAAGACGGAAATTAAAAGAACAGTCACAAGGAATGCAAAAAACGATTACTACATTTATAAACGAATAACCATTAAAATTTATAAAATAATTAGGCAGCCCATACTTAGTATGTGTTTCTTCAAACTGGCATGATAAAAACATTCTTGCACAAGAACAGAAACCTTTGATATGGCGTTTACACTAGCCTGAAATGACTGATTTAAATCAAAAATCACAGATGAAAAGCAAATAGATGATTTCTGTATACAAAATCTCATATGCGCAAATGAGATCCACACTCGTGCAATGGATCTCATTTTGTATAAATGAGTTCCGAAAAATTTGAAATGAGTGACATATGCAAATGAATACATTACACCTACCATAAATAAAATTTTTTATGGCATTTTGACAGTTTGAGACAGCTATTTTTGACATACTTACAAAAAAAGGTAAGCAAATATTTGGTAGTTGCATTTCTGTGAAAACGATGCACCTCTTTTTGGAACTTCTATTACCCAAACAGTACTTAATTTTTCAGTTTACATTGTAGGGCACACGCCAAAAAACAAATGAACAGGCAGGTTGACAAATTATCTGTTTGAAATTAGCAAACACTTTCAAATGAAGTGCTGACAAATCAACATTTTCAAATGCTCGTATGTATGCATGTACACCAGATTTTCCTAACGAAACTTATTTAGACAGAGTCATGCTTTTTCCTGCTCTCAGTGTACATGATGGTTTTGGTTATGATTACAGTCAAGTAACGAATAGTAAGGAAGAATAGTAAGTTGCAAAATTTAAATGCTATTTTAGTACCGAGTATGATAAATATATTAAGTTGCAAATAAATAAAAAATGCGAACTGCTAAAGATATGAATTATGACATGTGTATTTCAACTTTTGAACATATAAAATATATAAGAAATGTTACATTATACCGAGAAGAATAATATGAAATAATTATAGTGAACTGAACTAAGTATAATGACTCGAAATAAGATAAGTATTCCACTTTTAAAAATTTAAGAGAACTTTTATTTAAATGAAGATGGTTTAACGAAATCTGCGATGGACTTTGGCTCTTCTTACATATAAATACGTATCATAGTAATTACCTTTTTTTTTATATTACTTTATAAAAATAAAATCCGTTTTATTGTTTTTACCTTAGAAACTAAACTTTTCATTTTCTATAATTTTTTTAATAGTCTTCAGTAGAAAAATGTCTATTGTCTACTAATAGACATTTCATATGTAGTATTTGCTATTACATATGAAAAATGACTAGAATATCACCCTGATGCATCAAGTCAACCAAATATGATGTGTAATACCCTCTATACCCACCGAATACTCCATGTTTTAATATTATATGTTAGTATGTTAGTGTTGTATACTTTGTGAGTAACCGGTATGTAAATTACATATAAAATACATAAATATTATAAATGGTTTCCTAGCAAAAAACTATTTAAACCCACGTTATGTAGTGTATCTCGGCATGAGTAAAATTATTGTTGTTTTCAATGAAAATTAAAAAATTGAGAGTAAAAACAATATGTCGGTTCAAATTCCGGCATGAGGACCGGCGAATTTGTCTCTCGGCACTAATACAAAGCAGTGTTGTTCAGTAATAAATTTCAGAACTTATACTATGTTAACATTACGAACTTTAGTGAACGAACTTTGCTAAAGTTGATTCAGCGTTCACATCAAAGAAGATTTTATCTTTTATAGAATGGAAACTCCGCCCATCTCGATCAAAACTAAGAGAAATTGCTTAAGAAAATTCATTTTTTATAACATTTTTGTCACACGTATTAAATAAGTGTGATTAAACCACACTTATGCCACTTTTACGCTCTTTCATGCTCTTTCAGGGCTGCTGCATAACTTTTTTTCAACTTACTGTACAAGTGTTTATTTAAGCAGATTTATAAATACTCATAAATGAATTTAAGTATACATTACATATAATTTAAATATTATTAAATTAAATGGATTTATTTACAATAACATATAATTATGTAAAAAAATTTTTTAATTGTAATTGAGTATGTTACACAATCATTTATACACTTTTCTTAGCTATTTATATATTTTTGATGTGCGAAAATAGTTCAGAAGGGTTTCATATAATATGTTGAAAGCAATTAAAATCTATTTTAACTTGAAATTCAAAAAATATGTTTTGAAATTAAATTCAGTATAATATCATGTTAATAATGTTTTTCATTTAAATAGCTTTTTGGAATAAATTGGGTATATTATACAATGAAATTTAAAGTTATATGACATTAATATATACAATTTACAATTGCATGTAGCATAAAATTCACACATCTATGCAAATAAATTATATACTGAAAAATAGAAATAATTAATTTTTATAATAATAATTCAGTGTTAGATATATCAAAAGTCATATTATAATTTATTTTACTTATTTTCAGAAAAAAATAACTGAGTATATAGCATTCTTCACTTCAAGAAATATAATATTCCAAAATTTATTTAATATATATTGGTTTTCGTTAGAAATTGTAGAAAATTATTTCAAAATTAAATAAATTTTTAAACAATCGCAATAAATACTAATTTTATTGCTTGCACGGCCACTCCATTATGGTGAATGCATTTTTAAAATAGAGCATTGCCTAATACCAGGTTCGCACTATCTCATTTAGGCACTTGCTCATTTATATAAATGAGAAACCGTTCACATAATAATGAGCTCATTTATACAGCTTTTAGAACTTTTATATGTCAAAAAAGCTATAAAAGAACTTTCTTTTGTTTACAAATAAAACACAAAGAAAAATTTTGGTATTGTGTAAAATAAATATTTTAAAATGGAAAACGCAGAAAATTTAAAAAACATAATATATAATGTGTGTGAAATTATTAATAATAGAAAGAAAGCAATTTCTGAATATCGTAAATGTCGTGCAATGCACCGAAAAAATATACTTGAAATACGAAAAAAGCAAATAGCAATACTTTCTACAATAATTGCGAGCAACCGGAGGAAGTGCTGGACTTTGGTTAGTGCCGCCAGTAATGATTATTAAATAAAGTTTAAAATTAACATTTTTTTTCAGAAAAGAACAAAGATATTCTGGGAAGTGGATTGCCAGAAAAATGGTCCAAATTTTTTCAAAGAAAATTTTCGCATGAGTTTGGAATGTTTTAAGGAGTTATGTGAATTATTAAAAGGACTACAGAAAAGAGATACAACCTTTCGAATTTCAATTTCTTTAGAAAAGAGAATTGCTATTGGCTTGTATTGCCTTGGGTCGTCGGCTGAATACAGAAGCGAAATGAAATGACAAAAATGATGTAGTGGAAAAAAGTTGGGTACGTGCTCTGAAAAAACAACATCTGGTTTCAGAACGACAACAACCAGAAGAAGTTTCAGTATTAAATGACGGCGATCTAAATGCAGAACTAATAAGACGATGTTTAGCTACATTTTTTAGTAAGTTTTATTAGAAATTCACCTAATCCTAATTTTTAACTTTGTAGCACTAAATAACTTAATCTAATTATCCTATACATTTATAAAAAAAAAAAAAGTAACTTAATCTAAATTATAATAGTATAATGATAACAATAATTATAAATTATGTTATATTATTAATAAATAATTATCGCTATTCATCGCTGGAGTCATCGTAACCAGTGAGCCGAGTATATGGAAAACCTCTTTCCATTGATGACGCGATACGGGATAAAGCAACATTGCTTTCTTCCATTAAAATCAGGAACCTTGCGTCTGTGCGTTCCTGCAGCTCGATGTGACGGTTCTCTACATCTATCAGATTCTGAAATTTTTCCAAAAGGGTGTCATTCAAATTGCCTTTATTTTTTTTTTTTGCAGGTGTTTCAGAATCTTCCGACGTAGATATTGGATCTATCGGTGGAGAAGAGCATGGCGACAGCAACGATGTATCATTTGATGACGGGGCCTGGTCTGATAAATAAACACATTCATTATTTTGAAAAACTTAAACAAATTTGTGAAAACTCACCTGCAATACTTTCAAACACTAAATTTGGCACTTTCCGACCAAGCATTTCTCCTTCTCTTCATTTTCTGTGTCTGAAAATAATATTTAATTAAATTAATCTAAAATCAACTATTTAAATTTGTATTGCCTATTTAATTCATGAAAACAAAAAATTTTATTAAATACTAGTACGTACTTCTTTTTGCCATTGACATGAATCCATCTGAAATAAATGAATATATCTCACTAAAAAATTAAATATTTCATTGATATATTAAATCATTTATATACATGTTATATATTAATTAAATTTCAATTAATAAAAACAGATTATATTTAATACTACTTTCTCAGTGTACTTGTTTACTGTGCAGTTGTTGTTTGTTTACATTTTATATTTAAAAATATATGACAGATACTTCAAATTTTGGTCATTTCCCTTTTGGGAAATTTTTTTTAAAGGGTTGCATTCGACAATTTTGGTCTAAAATGAGCTGATTTATTGTAAATCAGCACATTTATATGAAAGCTCTTTGTATGGTAAATCATGCTCATTAGTGATTATAATGAGCAAAACCGCCTAAATGAGATAGTGTGAATGTACTATAAGAAATTTTCATTCTTATTAATTCGTAAAACGAATTTTATAGTCAGTACCGAATAAACAGTTGATGCGTGAGGGTGCGCACGCATGTCAACGAGCATGGTTCGATTGCTGCCTACAAACACGGTTGCCACTTATGGTACTTTAGTACCAAAATTGGTACTTTTTTTTTTTTTTTTTCATTTGGTACTCATTTTCAAAAACTGGTACATTTTTGACGACCCAATTTTATTGTGGATATTTCCAATTAATTTTTTTTATAAATGCAACTTTGCACTATTTTATATATTGTTCATTTATAACACTATAAAAAACACAGAACGAGAAAACAACAATGTCCAAAAAAATTTTGGACCTTTTTTTATAGAAATGGTACCTTTTTAAACCAATTTTGGTACAGAAAAAAATTTT